ACGATCCCCCCCGATGTGCCGAATATCGTGACCGTACGTCGAGCGGTTAAGATTTGTGCCCAACTGTTGACGCACGGACGGACGCACGGACGGACGGACGGACGATCAAGCGATTCTACAAGCTGCATCTGACTATGTCAGATGAGCTAATTATGACGAAATACATAAGCATGACAAATGCTGTGGAATACTGACTTCCTTCACTATTCCATTGACATCAGCGTCGTACTGCCGCCATGGCCTCTGGTCAGACATTTCAGTAGAGATCCGAGGATCGCACTCCATTATAGCATCACAAACTGCAACATAATCAGTAAAGATGACAATGTTTACTGCTGTCCACTGCTAATCAAGCAGCCTGTGGCAATGAGTGTATCCTAAATGAGAATGTGTTAACTGGTTTTGGACAATATAGGAAAGTGGCTTAGTATTGCATTGAACATATGTATGCATGAAGATACACGTGTTCATGGTATTAAATATTTGCTACAGCAATGTTTTGGTTAATCAAAATGTTTAGAACTTTAATCAAATCTCTTGAATCTCTAATATTTAATTCTAATGGAATGTAAATTTGTAAGTATATAAAAACATATGCATGCCTAACTGTAAAAATGTAATAAATTTACAATAATGAATTACATGAAACCCAAATAATAGGAAGAGAAGGGAATTTAATTTCTAGATAAAAAACCACAACTTCTCAACCTCCCTTTTCCTATTCCACTTTGATTAAGGTCTTTTACATTCCTTCACTATCCGCGTTACTTTACATGATATATATTAATCCACCAAACCCTTCACTTCAACTTTCCTCCACCGCCTTTTCCAACTCGAACTTTCTTCGCCCTACCATTTCCCACTATACTGCATTGCCATTATCACTACTCAGGCTTCCCTATATTCATGAAAACTTCTACGTTAAATTATATCACTTATTTTAACATCCATACTCTTCTCTACCGCATGCTTGTTACTTTTCCATGACCTAACATCATGTGTTCATGTAACATCATAACATCTGCCCGCCTTTCTCTATCTGATACGTACTCATGTTTTTTCTCTTTACCTCTACTAGCTCTAACACCCGTCTCCTCACCAGGCCTGTGTAACTGTGGGAATAAATTCTGTTGTACACAGCCACAGGGGCCTCCGGTCCACTCGGTTCACCTGCCAACTCGGTTTGCAGTTGACCGAGTTGACGCGTCTGGAGATCGGTGAGCTCGGTTCGTGAGATGAGTTGACGCGTCTGGAGATCGGTGAGCTCGGTTCGTGAGATGAGTTGACGCGTCTGGAGATCGCTCAGCTCGATTCGCTGGCTAACTCGTGAGATGTTTCAGACGCCCCAACTCTAATATCTCGCAAAGGATTTGAGTTACATTTCTAAAATTCTAGATACATATAAACACATGTCTTAGCTATGGTTTCTGTGAATTTTGAGCATATTGAAGCACATATAAACACATGTCTTAGCTATGGTTTCTGTGAATTTTGAGTTTATTGACTTAAGGTTATGACTTGAGGTTATAATCTTACTACACACTCTCCTGAACAAAACCCTCACAAAAGATAGAGCAGGTAGGAAAGAGTGAGCGCCAAGTTCGCGCATTTCTCAATACCACTGCCAGCACAAATAGTAACACAAACATTCGGGCATCTGTCCATAGGTAAAGTGTACGGTAAAACTAAAACGCAATTTACGTAGAGATGTCTCGTAAGATTCTGCAACATTAATTTATTAGGCTGCTGCTGCTTACCTGATAACTACCTCTTAATCTCTATGTCTGAAAAGACTGACCAAGTTGGCCGGTAACATTAATTAATTCACGTTATGAATACAGAATGGGAAAATACGACATTCGCCATATTACAACAGATGCTAAGCGACCCTGGTCACCCTGGTGGTGAAAGTATAAACAGGAAACTACGATTGCAAGCGAAATGAGGAAATTACTAAAATGGATACTTAGGGATCAAAGAATAAGATTTAGCAGAAATAAATGCTGGAGGTACAAATCAATGAAAATGATGGGATAAAAGTATACATTCCCAGAATATCCTCGCAAGTTACAAGAGTGGGACAACATACGATACGATACGATACGAAGCGCGTGCGTTCCGTGCGCAATCGTGCTTCCGCTTTCCGCGGCAACTGCAAAACAAAACATCATGGCGCAGTACCACACAAATCCTTCAAACCCAGTTGTGTTTTTCGACGTTACAGTTGGAACTACAGTATGTTAGTGTTAACTAGTATTACAGAAGAACAGCCTACATCGCACTGGAATTTCTGATTCGCAGAAATTTATGCTGTCGGCTTTTAATTTCTGTAAAAAATCGTTTGTTTTATTGTTCACGTGTTGATAGTCACATTACTGACATTACTCATTAGGTTAGTCATGACATTACTCATTACTCATTAGTGTCAACAATGTCAATGATTAGTCATTGGTCATTACGACATTAGTGAGTCTTCAATACTTGTCGCATGTCGGTCCGTCGGATTCCATGAGTTGTTTGTATAATTAATTTGTTACTCATAGTCATAGTCATAGTCCTAGAAGTAGAAGTACTACCCCCTAGGTCTACGCTTTGATTTCGTAGTACTAGTAGGTACATCTAAATGTAGCTCAAGGGGTCATTGTCGTATCAGGTACTACAGATATGTACCCGAGGTACATATACCTGCCTATACACAATCGTACCAGACCTTGTACCTACAGACTGCTACCCTTAAACCCTTAACCCTAACTCCCTAAACCTAACCCTAAACATACCTCATATAAAATAGTAAACATAATACTAAAACAACCTAAAACCTACCTCGGCGGATACCATATCTGTAGTACGCTAAGACATAAACAGTAACATGTTTATATCTCGCTTATTGTTTACAACACTCTAGAACAAAAATTAACAAGGTAAATAAGAAAACCATACAGCGAAAGGATGGCGAAAAGACCATACGGTCAACAAGTCAGCCATCCTCTAGAAAAAATTATAAATGCAGAAGTAAGCGGGCAGCTGTCGTCACGGAAGAAATATAGCTAAAATATTGTTCTAGAGTAATTTATTATAATATTTTAGCTATAAGTGAACTTTAAATGTGTAGCCGAAAACAGTGTGGAATAAATACAAGTATGAGATCCGAAAATTACATGATTAACAATTGCTTGCATGTTATGCAGGATATAAGTAGAGATAATTCCAAAAATTAAACAAATTTGAGCAAAATATTTACAGTAATGACCGCATAAATAAACAGTCTTGAGTGTAATTTATAACAAAACAGGCTAAGTGCATACGTTTATGATACGTAAAATAATACATTAATGAATACATATTTATAAAGAAACTAGTTATTAACAGATCAGATGACAACCACAATCTAACAATTGCAAGCAATACATAAAGCGCCACGTAAAAAATAACTCGGAACATAATCACACTCAACTAAATGCTATGTACAAGGTGTATCTTCATTAGCATATATATTACTATATGAAAATTAACTTAGGAAGTGGTTCTGCATTGAAACATGCGTTTAGAATAAATAAATAAATATCTTGAATAAATATTATCTAAAGAATAGCAATCACATGCCAGTGTTACAGCAATCGCAAAAAAATAACAAGAAATGACATAATAATAGACGTAGAGAACTAGTTAATCATGACCCAGATATGTTAGTCATTAAGAGATATACTGTTGAAGCATGCTTAATTTATATTTATAACTGAACTGTTTAATAGTAGTGGATGCCGTGTTTAATTACAGATACGGCGTTCCAAAGTTTTAACTCCAGCCGGATTTTAATTGATTTAAAACCGAGTATTATGCGTACTCTAGGGAGAAAGAATTAAATTATTAAGTAGAAGTGCTCTTGATCTGGTGTATGATGAGCCATCTGAAACTGTCTTTTTTAAAATAATTACAAATTAATTCAGGAGGATACCTGGCATTGAATTTGACACATAAATTACCTAGCCCTCGCTAAATTATAAGATGTGTTTAGTTGAGCGTTGCAAATACATAAAAGTAAGCGGGTTGCATGATCCCTCCAGTTGCAAATTTTGATAAGTTTAACAATTTTGTTTTGAATAGTTGTAGTGCGTTTTTAAGTGGTTTTGTTAGCCTGCTACCCCAATTCGAAGACCGATAGATTAGATAGGATAGACCAGGGCCATAGTACAAATAGTGCGAAGCAACTCATTTGCCCTGAATAAAGTCTTAATTTAGATATAATACCAGTTGATCGTGCAATTTTTGTTGTAATATGAGTAATATGATTTTTCCATGTGAGTTATTGTCAATGGAAAATTCTAGATATTTTATATCATGCAGGTAGAAGGAGGTACGTGGGTTCCCATTTGACACCTGAAATTGGGGAAGTGCGGCATCACCTGAGGCTGCCAAGTTTGCAGGCAAACGACCGCCGTCACTAGAGTTGCAGCTGATTGAAAACTGTGAGTTGGGCAAAGTGCGGCGGCAAGATACCATGTTGTTGTGGGTGCGCGTGTGCTGCAGCAGGAGTGTGGTGTGGAGGAGGCACTTTATCCCCCTTCCACTGGCTATTATTACACAAAACGGTACTATAAACTTTTATTTTCCATTCAAACTGTTCATTACTGAACATTACACACCGATTGGTTAGGTTTAGATATAGAGCTGGTACATTAAGGCAGATGTGGTCGTTGTCGTATCAGGCCTCCTCCACACCACACTCCTGCTGCAGCACACGCGCACCCACAACAACATGGTATCTTGCCGCCGCACTTTGCCCAACTCACAGTTTTCAATCAGCTGCAACTCTAGTGACGGCGGTGTTCCTGCAACTTGCAGCCTCAGGTGATGCCACTTTCCAACTATCATCAGAATTGTGGAAAAATGCTTAAGGATCTACACCAGCCATTTTTTAACATTGGGTTCAGGAAAATGCACTGAAATTATAGAAATTCTTCAAATGTTGATCCAAAACAACATTTTGAATGTTACGCTATATATATATATATATGACTGTGGGCAAGCGTGCGTGCGTGCGTGCCTGCATGGTGCGCGACTGTGGTGTGATGGGGGGGGGGATCCTGCTGCCAGTTATGATGGCAGCAAAAGTTAGTCAGGTAGTGTGTCAACCCATCCACATATTAACCTACCTAGTACCACCACTTGACTTCTGATGAACTTAATTTCTAGTAACTACACCACTTGACTTCTGACGAACTTAATTTCCTGCAGAAATGGAAGTGCTTTGTTGTGACAGTAAAATAACTCTGAGTTAATTTAAGTAAAATAGCTTAGAGTAAAATCATAAATGGTATTTATATTTTAGGAAATTGGAAGAATGAAGATGGAACTTTATGCTGATATTGTACCTTTGTCAGCAGAAAATTTTAGGTAGCTAAATTATTTGAATATAGATGACACCTATTAAAGCACTGTTATGTGTATTTCTGAAAATATAGGTATTTTACTGATAATGTATTTTCTTTGTGGTTTTACTTGTCAAGTGGATTATTTTCTGAATCCTTATTTTAATAGGTATTATCTTATTAAAATGCCATGAGTGAAAATTCAGGTAATTATATCAGTGAACAGTTTTGCTGAATTGAAATAATTATTTAAATTTCCAACAGTTCTAACAAACTTTACTGTTGCAAGCCAGTCATCTAAACTGTTATGTTGTTTTGCATTTTTAGACAGTTTTGCACTGGGGAGTATAGAAGAGATGGTGTGCCTATAGGATATAAAGGAGCAATATTTCATAGGTGAGTCTTTTGTTTAATTGCAATTTGGATAGTTTATTTGTGCTAACCTTTGCATTGTATTTTATTACTTTATTTGTTATTAAATCACAAACTTTCAGACACTTATTTATTTCTATTATATAAATTATATATTTCTTGCTCTAGTTTGTGTTATAATAGATGTGACTTATATAAAAAACTATATTGTTTACAGAGTCATAAAAGACTTCATGATACAGGGTGGTGATTTTGTCAATGTAAGTATTTATATTTAAAAATATTATCAATGATAACACATCTATTTTCATGCACATTCTTAACTATTACTCAAATTTTAGGGTCTCTTTAGCTATAATTTAAATATAACACAATAAAAAAAAATACCACTCAGCATAATTTTTTAATTCATTTACAGGGTGATGGCACAGGAGTATTTAGTGTTTATGGAGGTAACTTTGCTGATGAAAATTTCAAACTAAAGCATAGTGGACCAGGCTTACTATCTCTGGTATGTGTATATTTACCGGTATTTGTTACCTTGTTTATTGTGCTATCTTACACAGATAGGTAGATTGAAATTCGTTTGTAACTTTATAGGTTACATATTTTGTATATCTTAATAGTAACATTATCTTGTATAACCCTTCATATATTAAATTATTCTTTATGTATCACTAAATGTTATAATTCTAGGCAAACAGTGGAAAAGACACAAATGGCTGCCAATTTTTCGTAACCTGTGCGAAATGTGATTTCTTAGATGGAAAGCACGTTGTTTTTGGTAAGAATGTTGAGCTGTGTAGGTTATAGTTTACTGATAAAATTAGCTTTAATAATAGCTTTTAATTAGTTCTCTAGTTTCTTTTAATATAGTTCTTAAGAAACAGTATGTAGCAAATCTCACATTTTGCAGTACTCGCTTAATACTACTGGGAAAAAATAAACTATCTGTTGAGTTGCAAATTGAAAATTAATATCTCCATGTATGTCTTCTTCTTCTTTCTTCACATTATTAGTCCTATTCAAGTGAGGTTGCAGCAGTGGGCTCTTCTCCTCCATTTTTCCATATCCTCCACTTAGTGTGTCATCAATCCCTTCTCCTTCAAGTCATTCTGCACGCAGTCCTTCAATCTTGTCCTTGGTCTCCCTCTTCCTCTTCTGGCTGGTATGTATTCCCATGTATGTGCTTGCTGTCAATAATGTTCTTTTTACAATTAATCCAGGCAGGGTGGTTGATGGATTGCTGGTAATGAGGAAAATCGAAAATGTACCCATCGGACCAAACAACAAACCGAAGATCCCAGTGACAATATCGCAATGTGGAGAGATGTAAACTCGACAGTTTCCTTGTAGCAATTCAATCAGTGTTACCTTTGCTATCATGTTGTGGTCTGGCCCAGCCTGGTCACCTGCTCTTGCATACCTATTGCTGTCAGGCATATATGAGGTGACTGATGTATGAACCAGATGATGATCTCTATTTCGAAGACAAAACCGTATCGCAGTAGGAATTTTCTACGTTAGCTCCTTGCAACACGGTAGTTGGAGGATCGAACACTGAGAAGACATTCCCACATAGACATTTGCGGTGAATCTCCATGGGTCACAATGTGTTGAGCAGCTGTACAGATAAGCTCCAGAAGACTACCAAACTGCAACCCATGTTATGGCGATTTGTAAAAAATTGAATGTGTCTGAAAGGAGTTTTATTATTCCATGTTTATGATTTGTGATGAGTCGACTATCATAATTACGAGTAGCTACATTGCGAAATCGAAATTCAGCTGTATCACTATGAAATGTGTTAATACATTACTGCATTTAGTTTGACTAATAATAAAATCATTATTTTATAAAAAAAACATTTGTGCACATTTCTATTGCATGCCTTAATTGCTGTATGACTGTTTAAAGCATAATACTGTAGCATAGAGTTATTATAGAGAGCAGTGATTCCCACTCATATGAACAAAGACGCCACCTCTCGGGCGAATTATAACCCATTTTATATGTGCTGCCCTCTTGCGCAATAACGGCAATACAACCATCATGGCCGAACGGAAGAAGACACGAAAGCGAAAGGATGAGGTAAGACTTCTCCTTCATGAACGCATCGTCTACACTACGTTACAATAGCTGTATATTGAACTTACAATATAATTAATTGAGTTTAGTTTCGATTTGATAAAAATTTGTGCCATTATAATTGAAGTTCACTTCAGTCTGTTTCGTGTTGCACGATTGTCGGATTGACGTCACGTATTTACTATCGAATAACACAGTCATGTCAGTCATTGAAACTGTACCACCACGATCACAGTACCCCTCCTCCTGTGGTGGTAAAATGTCAATGCCTGTGTTGTGTGTGGTTATATATACAGGGGTAGAAATTAACTTTTGAACATGGTTACATGGGAGTACAACGAACTCCCTAGTAATGGTCTACCCTCAAAAAGAGGGAGTCCGCAGCAAAATGAGGGAGTCTGCAATCTAAGGTTCAAAATGAAAGATAACGCATGTGCATCGCATGTGGTTATGTTTAAGATTGTGCGGTTGCACGTCTGCCAAATTTTCTTTGCACATTAGTAGAAAAAATACCGTAATTCTGCGAGGCTAGTTAGTATGGCAGAATTTTCTGGGAGTCACACGGACTCATCCATATGCCAAATCGAGAGTATTTGACTCCGGACTCCCGTTAATTTCGCACCCTGATTATATATGTCAGAGAACATACAGTTGGAAGTTATATACCGGTACCTCTAATCATATGTGACAATTGTGTACAGTGTATTTACTGTACTTAGTATTACAGAATACAGTACTTATTAACTAGTAAAAGTAGTATAGTATAAACATGTTGAATGAATCTTAACTTTACGTCACTTATCGGCGGTATGTGTGCCTGCAACTACTATAGACTATAGTCTAGAAGTGATTCACAGATTTGTCTATTTGTCTTGAAAAACATAATGGTAAAATAATTTTAGAATTCGGCCATTTATTTCGACTGACTCTTTCTGTTTGTGTATCGCAATGCGTATCGTATCATGACCCTAGTGTATCGCTACACCTCTAGTAGAATGATAATCCCTGCTGATATCATATTTAACTTTCCTGGTCAATGTTGTGGTAAAGCATCATTATTTATGTGGTTTAGGAACTCATGGTTTAGGAAATATATTGGCTTCATGAGTGTACAACAACTGGAGGTAGGAACCGTGAGAGTAAACCATGAGTCCTGCGAATAAATCACTTTGTGGGCTCTGATCCCCAGTGATTATTGAATATTGACGCCTGAGTGTTATTTCTGTGTTATACTATCCTATCGTGCCCACAGAACATTTTTAGCTTAGTTTTTGTTTAATGGAAGTCTGATTCATGCATGACTGATACATGCACTTAGTTATGATACTGTAACTTATTTACTCAAAATTCAGAACTCGGTTTAAAGGAACAGTAGCCTCTAGGTTCTAGGGTTATTTTCAGCTAATTTAGGTTATAATTGCGCTACATAAAAAGTTTCATGGTTCAATCACCATTAGAAATATTTACAGTATCGGCCGACTTTAATTCCATAGACAAAATATTAAAATGGATATATTAAGTGGACCAACAATGGCAATCTTAAACGGGACAGTAGCCTCTAGGATTGACTCGACAATACAAACTGTAACTTCCTGCATAACACACACTCGTCTATAACCTACATGTCATGTTGTCAGCCAGATTACTTAATTAATCTATTGTACACTCCCTCAACAAAACCGCTAAAACAATAAACCTCTTGAACGGCGCCAATGAACACCCGCAGAACGGAGTGGCTGCCACGCCTGTAAAAAGATGCTCAATTGCCATTTTATTTGGCAGGTTAAATGACCGAGGCTAATCACAGCACAAAAACACTGAAGTGCAATTATATTTAATCCTTAAAATGCTATTTAACCGAACGATGTATTCATTTAGGGCAAATTTATTCCAATATATAACTGAAACTATACTGTCGTTATAAATATTTAACAATCCTTTTGCTTAAATGAATAAATAGAGAAATACCCTCGGTCTGTACCCTTGGCCTGGAAAGTGGTTTTGCCCCGCAACTTCTCAGATCGTGCGCGTTGAGTGCCGCCAGTCCGTCGTTGTAACAACGGAGTCGTTTAGTTTACCGAACATTTTTTTTTTT